TTTTTTACATTTCTAAATCATGTCATCTACAGGAGACACGTCTATTCAATAGAATAAATGGATGGCGGTGACATTTTGCACAAGAACTGGTTGATTTGAGGATGTAAGTATCCCAATTGAAATGATAGTTAAGGACGTTTCGTGACAAGTATCTCAATTTAATTATAAGTAGGGAATCTTTCTTGAATTTAATAAAAATAAAATTATCCTCGAACTTCCAACCACATATCCTAATGTTCCATGATAATTGATGTGTTTCAATCTCTCTTGTATGTGTGTGAGTGGAAGACATTCGAGAACTCTCTCTCATATTAGATGGCCACTTTTCTACACACACAGAGACAGAGAGATGGAGAGAAGTCAAACTTTAAACAGGTGGTGGATCCAAGAGAAAGGCACAGTAGAAGAAATACCGTAATAGGTCAAAAGAACTAAAAGATTATCTTTATTTCCTATCATTTTATGGCACCAAACAGCAGAAATTTTTTTAGAAAAATGTGATCCAAATCCAAAGACTAAAGTTTAAGAAGAGAGAGAAAGGGAAAAAAGTGATAAAGTCGGTACCAATAAGGAATCTAAACATTGAGAATTGAAATTAAGGTAAATTGATCAGACATGTTTTCCATTTCCAATGCTTCATTGGACCATTAGGTTTATAATGCATTTTCTTTTTCTTTCAAATAATTATCTTTTATCCTTGAAAAACTTACCTGACAAAGAATTTTGTGCTTCCGTACCCGTCGCTTTCTTTATTTCTTAGTGCTCACAAACTATTTGGCTACGTGGCCGTTCAGATCAGCTTATGTCTGTAGAAAGCCTGCCAATTCAAATCTAAACGGGGATCTCCTAGTTTATTTCTTTTCATTATTTTAAAATTTAAACTCCTTAATTTTTTCTTATGTAAGTATTTGTGTATGCACTGTCTCAACATGCTGAGGTGCATCTATGGCTAACGGGGAAAAAATATGGAACCAGTAACAACTTCTGAGCATGATTGTTGTTACCATAGCCTCGTCGGAGGGATGATGATTGTGAACACTTCAATGCTTAAGTCAAACTGTGAACAAAGTATTTTGGTTATGGGAGAGATGCAATAGATGAGAATAAAGAGTGTCGGGGTTGAAGAATATTTCCAAGAGCAATATGAGATATTTAAAATTGCACTCAAAAGTTTAGTACGACAATGACATTATATTTGGCAAACACTAAGTTTGAATTTTTATATCAAAAGAGAAGAAGTGGTGTCCGTAGGATGTTAACATCACCTTATTAACAACTCACTAGTTAAGTTGAAAGGTGTCAATCTCAATTGTAATAAATGTGTGATTGCATGACCATAGGCGAAAATTAGCCACTCTATGTCATAAAAGCAGCCTTAAAAATTGGCTGAATGTATCTGTCGCAGGCTGCTAGGTCTATTGAGTGTATAAAGTACCAACATACGAAGTATCTTTGGATTGAGGTGACCTGTTGAAGATTCTCTTCACACGAGATACTAACCACCTTGAAAATACACTAAGCAAGATGTGGCGTCTCATCTCAAAAGAGCCACTTTGAATGAGGTATTATCACTTTGGATAAGGAGCTCAAATCACCTCGCCCAATCCCAATCACCTTAGAGGGTGTTGAGCAAAATTTTTGCAAGTGGATGGTATCGTGACAAATATTAAAGTGGATGTGAGTCTAAGGATCGTTCTCACGATGATTAAGTATTTAGTTAAGTTTCAATTAACATTTACTTCATTTGAATAACAAAATTGTAAATATTGGTGATTCGCAAAAGAAACCTATATATACTCTAATGAGAAGCGGTTACGTAAATTAATGGCAAGCACTACAAATTCCCTTATATTTTTCTATTTTGATATCAATATATTATTAACAATACTTATTTACATTTGAAGATTAATATTCCTAATCTTTTCGATAATCTTCATCGAGTATAATTATACAGATTCTCATGTATGACCTTAATATATCTTTATAAAGGATGTGAATATTTGAAGATGCATTAAATTACGATAACATTTATAAGATTATGTAAAGCATAGATGTTTATATTTATTTTATATCAGACTTTACAATGATTATTACCACGTATTATAATTCTTTGTTTAATTTCTTGAAAAGCTCTATAATCCTAACAATCATTCAAATTGTCAAAATTTGGAATTTAATATCAAAACGTTAGAATATAGAGTTCATAATTACAATAGCATCTATACAATTAGCCGAGCATTATATGATCATAAAAACACAAATTGGATTGATACAACAACACCGGAATTATAGTGTAGAAAAAAGATAGAAAAAATCTTGTAATGTTGAATCTATTCAACAACTCTTGAATAAACTTTTTGATATTTCATTATTCTTCTTCAAATTGCAAGCAAAGATGTATGAAATTTATGTAAGAGAATGTATTTTGTATCAAAAGTTTCCTTAAAATTTGTGAAGAATATGGTGAGTGAAGATTGTATTCATAGCACCAGAAATTAGGTCAAATCTTATGACCCTCTCCGTATAGAAGTTGAATCAAAATAGGAAAAAAAGTATTTCCTGTTGACTATTACCATGTGATCACACGGTATAACTTATTGCGGTTGCACGGTATTGAAATTGGACTTGCTAGAGGTCTATTATCGATGCTTGTGATCACAAGGTTTACATTTTTCCCTCCCCGAACAAGTTGGACCATGGACATCTCCTTTTATTCGATTCTCCTCTTATTTTTATCACCAGTCCTTCATTTTTAAATCTTTACACCTTGATCATCACATCCACAATCATTTGTAATTGATTCATCTTGTTCCAAAAGTTTACAGTTGAGTCCAAAACTTTTCAATGTTAGATTTAACTTCCTAAACTTGTGAATCTCCTTTGATTACTATCTAAATACTCATTATTGATCACGTGCAATCCGGTTAAATTTCAATAGTTTCGAATCAACTTCTATTAGGCTCAAAATCATCTTTTCGTACGTCAAAGTCAGGGTTTTTTCCTACAACCGAGTCTGACATAATTTCATTAATTAGGTAGATATCCACTCAAATATCAATAATTTATTAAGTTTGGAAACCCGAATAATGGATGGCACGTGGGGGGCAAGTTGCAACGAAGTGTGGACATGTGTAACCTCTTGCTTTGTATTTGCTTAGCTAGTTGTGACGTGACCTTCTTCATAGGAAGAGATTTAACAGTAAGTAGATAATCAAACAAAGTATTGTCCCATGCATTTGTGCATAAGGTAAATGTCTTTATTAATATTTTACTTGTGGTAGTACTTCGCCTTTGGTCTAGCGTGTTATCAAACCGTGCTCATTTATCACTTTATGCTTCAATTGTGGTTCTATCAATTTCCAAGTGATTCGTGAAATTATTAACTCAATACATGTTTGATAGAATGCTCTTATAAGAACTCTTCATTTGACCGCATCTAGAGGGTCCATGATATAGTCAATTCATCTATTCACAATTAGGTGCTTCTCTCGTCTCTCTAGAGCACCATGTAAATATGATTCTACGGAATGATAAGAAAGAATACGAGTGTATCGTCACTACAACAAAAGTAGTTTTTACGGCATGCATTTACGGTGTGCATTTACGGCGTGCATCGACGGTATGCCGTAAAAATAGACCAATTACGGCATGCAATGTATGTATGCCGTGAAAGATCAAGTAATTAGAGCATTTACTGTGTGCAGAGTATTAACTGGCATTTACGGCTTACACTAAAAAGCACGCAGTGTTATATTGTCAAAAAATTCATTACAAGCCCTAAAAACATAGCATTTCTCCCATTCTTTTTCCCATCGACTTCACCTCTCCATGATTTCCCCTGGCGCTTCAGTTCTCACTCTCTCTCTCTCTCCACCTTCCACGGTCGACCACAGGCGCCTTAGCTCACTCTCGTCTCTCTCCGGCTTCCACCGTCGACCGACAGCGCCTTAGCCCTCACTCTCGTCTCTCTCTGCCTTCCACCGGCACCGCTCACTCTCGTCGCTCGCCTCTCAAGACACAAATCATTCACGTACAATGTCTATGCACATTTATTTATTGTTCATTAGAGTTATTTTTCCTGTTGTCAATTTTGAGTTTGCAGAAAACTGGAGATAAATGCACCTGAGGGAAAACCTAAGTATGTTTTTTCAATTTTGTGTTTATTTAAACATTTAAACATGGGTTGTTGTTGAATTTTATTGTTTAAAGATTGATTTTGAATGTTGGCACTGCCGCACTGAGAACAATTGAACAATGGTGTGTAGATGGTTGGCGAGGGCTATAAAGTCATTTGCAATTGCGTAGATGGAGGCCATGAAGTTCAATACCCAAAAACTGGGACCAAAGCTTTGCTAATGGGCATTTTGGTTGAAGGTTGGTAGTTAAATGATAAATAATTCAATTTGATAGTATAATCCAATTAGTTTGTAGCTTATAATTCACTCGGATTTTTATTTCATAAATCTAAAAATGATGTTTATTTCAGTTTATTTGATTTCTAGAAGAACTTATAGAATATGAGCTAATGAAGCCTAGCTTTAGCAAAAAAGATGAGATGATAAGATATGAGGTTCCAAGTACCACTAATTGATGCAATTGGATATACAACTGGAAGGTGAAATTAGCAATATTGTATATCACAATTGTGATTATGATTATGACATAATTTATTCAGGTTAGAATTTTTTGAGAGTGTTATGTTGTCTATTATGACTAGAACAGTAGGTCACAATTATGATTTTGTACGTGACCTATAACATTCTTCGTTCTCTGTACTGGTTTGATATATCTACTGTTTATTTGTGATGTTGTTACTTGTAACAAGTGCTATTTTTTGTGGTAAGTATTATTATTTGTAACTTTCATAAATGTATACTATATTCAATTTGTGATGTGAATTAATGGTACTATGTTGTTAAACAATGATGGGCTTGTGCATGTTAACCTGTTATATAGAGGTCACATGTTAATTTTATTGGAGGATTCTTAAAAGTATATTGAGCTAGTTGATCTTGTTATTTCAAAGTTGGGGAATGGATTATGCGGAAGTTGTAATTACAATGTCATGTCATTGTGTGAAACATCAAGATCCTCCTTTGTTTACTAATTATTGGGCAATCAGGCGAGGCCCTAGTAAAGAGAGTTGGCCATACCAACATGGTAATTTCTTGATTCTGACTTATAGTTATGAATATTCAATGTATTGTTCTGTGATTGAAAATGTTATACCATTATGATCAGGTTTAACTTATTATGTGGGTTAATTTTGATGACATCCTACAATACCGTTGACTGTGACCTACTTTAATTTCATTCGAAAGCTAAGTTTGAGATTTTTGTGTGGTTAAGATGCAACTGGTAATTAGTAATTAGTCGTGCATTCTGTGTATCACTGGATTAATAAGGGTGGTTGAATAACTTTTGATATTTTCCAATGAACAATACACATAATTAATTATTGTTCATCTAATGACTTTTTCTTAAATATCTTTAGAGTCAAGATGCCTTCTTTAAATTTTAAACTTACGCTATTTGTTCAGTGCCTCAAATTTTTTAGTTTAGATTTAAAACTCTAAAAGACATTGTCAATTTATGGGGAGAAGTTTGCTGTTGAAAATTTCAAAATCAAACATACCAGACCTGGTAGGAGAACTGCCTATGCCCCAGAACCTCCCCTTCCCTAATACCATCTCACTCCATGATTTCAGATTTCTAAGTTTCACTGTGTGAAAGCATCCTTTGTGTCATCTTATTATTTTTGCTCAATTTTCAGGGCTTAGGTCTATGGCAAATGATGGGCAGGACACTAATGGTTCACAATTTTTCATCTGTGACGACCAACTGGTAACTATACAATTTATGATCCTGCTATTATGAGAAAACTGTCATCCATCTTCAGATCTTCTATCTGGTGCTTCTATTTAGCCAGAAAATCTAACAAAATTTAAATGTTCAATAGGTTGGATGGTCGTCATGTTGTATTCAGAAAGGTGCTGTCCGGAATAGATGTGGTGTATAAGATAGAAGCCAAATGCAACTAGAGTGGAACAACCAAAAACAAAGTTGTGATTGCAGACAGTGGTGAACTTCCCCTGTAATCAGCTTGTACTTGAACTTGTCAGTTTTACCCTTCTACTCACTTCTGCTTACTGCAGATTATGGATCTTAATTTACATACCTGAATTATGTTATTTAGGAAAATGAAATAGGTACCAGAAAAGTACACTTTTTAGTTTGGCACCTAATGAAATAGGTACCAGAAAAGGCACGTAGAATGTATATTAGGAAAGAAGAGAGGAAACATATGCGATTTCTCTTACATTATTGACAGAGATCATTAGGGATAATGTTACCAACCTTTAGAAGGTTCGTTTTACATTTTTTTGATCTGTTCAGTGACCTTTCCTTTAGTTAGCATTTATACAATTTCTCTCTGTCATAAATGCAGCAGAAAAGAAGACAAAGAAATAGCAAGAAGTCGTAATTGCGTAGTGAAGAAGTTTCAAAGGCACTAAGAATGAATTTTTTTCTGAAGTGGTATATACTTTTGAGAAGTATTGAAATGAATTTTACATTGATATATTGTATTAAACTGTACTCAATATTTATGAAATCTAAGAAAAACCTGGTTATATTTATGGAATTTTGTTTTGTAATTATTATTAGTAATCAAATAAATAAACAATTTTTTCTTTTAAAAAATAAAATTTACGTTGTGCATTTTGTACGCCGTAAAAAAAAATACGTTACCTCGTTAAAAAACTCACCTTGCGCACGCCGTAAAAGGTTTTAACGGCTTTCATAGATGACATGCATTGCACTCCGTAAAAAGTAAATACTTTTTTACGGCATTGCTTTATACGGCATGTAGGAGTGGATACTTTTTTCCAGAACCGGTGGAACTGGACCGAAATCGTTTAGAACCGATCGGTTTGGTTCCGGATCTTCTAAAAAATAATTTGATTTCGGGACAAATTTTTAAGAACCGATTGGTTTCGGTCTGGTTCTCGATTTTAGTATGGGAACCGAGGGAACCAGACGGTTCTCATTGGACTTTTTCTTTTTTTCTTTTTTTTTTTGGTAAAATATATGACTCAATTTTCAAACTTTTATAAAAAATAATCGGGTTCCTTCTTAATTTTAGACTCCAGCACTTTCCTTCTTCACTTTGATTCTTTCCTTGTCTCTTCTTATAGTTCTTTGATTAATTGATTTTCAAGCCAAATTAAAATATTGGGTAAATCTATACCTAAATAAATTTATTTACAAAATATAATTTCATTTATAAGATGTGAAATTTTTATTTTGTTTTCACTTTGTAAATCTATACTTAAATAAATCTTTGACTAGTATGTTCAGTTTTTCTATATTTTGTTAAAAGTATCACATTGGTAGTATTTTTAGAGTTTTAGTAGTGAACATTTTATTTTGACATTTTCAATGTAAAGAACCGGACCGAACTGAATCGGAACCGATTGGTTCGGTTCCGATTTGGTTCCACAGTTAACTATGGAACCAATGGTTCATTTCTAAAATTCTCATTGGTATTTGGTTCGGTTCGATTTCCTTTGGAATCGGACCAAATCGGACCGTGCCCACACCTAACGGCATGCGGCTGCACGCCGTAAATTGGTTTTTACGGCATGCAATGCTTGCATGCCGTAAAAAGTGCATTTTGTTGTATTGCGTGACCAATCTAATGACTTTTTCTTAAATATCTTTAGAGTCAAGATGCCTTCTTTAAATTTTAAACTTACGCTATTTGTTCAGTGCCTCAAAATTTTTAGTTTAGATTTAAAACTCTAAAAGACATTGTCAATTTATGGGGAGAAGTTTGCTGTTGAAAATTTCAAAATCAAACATACCAGACCTGGTAGGAGAACTGCCAATGCCCCAGAACCTCCCCTTCCCTAATACCATCTCACTCCATGATTTCAGATTTCTGAGTTTCATTGTGTGAAAGCATTCTTTGTGTCATCTTATTATTTTTGTCCAATTTTCAGGGCTTAGGTCTATGGCAAATGTTGGGCAGGACACTAATGGTTCACAATTTTCATCTGTGACGACCAGCTGGTAACTATACAATTTATGATCCTGCTGTTATGAGAAAACTGTCATCCATTTTCAGATCTTCTATCTGGTGCTTCTATTTAGCCAGAAAATCTAACAAAAGTTAAATGTTCAATAGGTTGGATGGTCGTCATGTTGTATTCGGAAAGGTGCTGTCCGAAATAGATGTGGTGTATAAGATAGAAGCCAAATGCAACTAGAGTGGAACAACCAAAAGCAAAGTTGTGATTGCAGACAGTGGTGAACTTCCCCTGTAATCAGCTTGTACTTGAACTCGTCAGTTTTACCCTTCTACTCACTTCTACTTACTGCGGGTTATGGATCTTAATTTACATACCTGAATTATGTTATTTAGGAAAATGAAATAGGTACCAGAAAAGCACACTTTTTAGTTTGGCACCTAATATTATGAGTCCATAAGGCATGTAGAATGTATATTAGGAAAGAAGAGAGGAAACAAATGCGATTTCTCTTACATTATTGACAGAGATCATTAGGGATATTGTTACCAACCTTCAGAAGGTTCGGTTTACATTTTCTTGATCTGTTCAGTGACCTTTCCTTTAGTTAGCATTTATACAATTTCTCTCTCTCATAAATGCAGCAGGAAAGAAGACAAAGAAATAGCAAGAAGTCGTAATTGTGTAGTGAAGAAGTTTCAAAGACACCAAGAATGTTTTTTTTTTCTGAAGTGGTATATACTTTTTGAGAAGTATTGAAATGAATTTTACATTGATATATTGTATTAAATTGTACTCAATATTTATGGAATCTAAGAAAAACCTCGTTATATTTATGGAATTTTGTTTTGTAATTACTATTAGTAATCAAATAAATAAACAATTTTTTCTTTTAGAAAATAAAATTTACGGTGTGCATTTTGTACGCCGTAAAAAAAAATACGTTACCTTTTATGGCGTGCATGTGCACGCCGTTAAAAAACTCACCTTGCGCACGCCGTAAAAGGTTTTAACGGCGTTCACAGACGGCATGCATTGCACGCCGTAAAAAGTAAATACTTTTTTACGGCATTGCTTTATACGATATCAGCATGCGGCCGCACGCCGTAATTTGGTTTTTACGGCATGCAGTGCATGCCGTAAAAAGTGCATTTTGTTGTAGTCTAAATTTGTTGCCCTAACTTGTCCTATGCATACAAATAAAATTTATCGTTATTCGACTCAATCCTAAAGACAACAATGAGCTATGTACTTTAACTTGAAGTATTCACGTTCAAAGGGTACAAACCTACTCTATCCCTTAATTCAATCAAATGAAACAAGCAAAGACTGGAACAAAATGTTAGGCCTTGACCATGTGATCACATGGTTATTGGTCCATGCTCTAGACGTATTAGCACGCAACAACGTAGAAGAGTGCGTCAGAAGATGTAGAACTCTTAATAGAGATTGAACCTAGCTATTGAGGACCATCCGTATTTTTCAATTAATTTCGGGCCCAGCCACGTACAGCCGTAGAGGTCCCCAATATGTACCTGTCTTGTCCTGTCCAAAATACTTTGCTGTGTAACCTTTATCTAATCGAATTAACCTGTATATTCAATACTTTTATCTTTTCAAGAATAAAGTTGGTTTGCCCTAAAATTTTGACATGCCAACTGACTGACCTTCACATCGTGCATGGATCCTGCGTAAATTTAAAAAAAAAAAAGTGCTGACCCCCATGTGTATGTGTTCGGTTATCTCCTATATTCGTGTAGCAAAAATCATCTTTTCAATTTTTTGGAGTCCTGAAATGTGGCCGTTTCAATAGACCGATCAGGTCAAATCTTGGGCCAACGAAGTTTTTTTGACATATGTGATATAAATATAGACTAGTTATTCTAGTTAGAAAATCTGTAGCTGGTGAAGGCAGACTCAAATTGGTAATCGTACATAACATAGCTGCACAACAAAACGTTGGCTTCGTTTTCGAGCATCTTAAAAATCTGTGGAGGACTAAAGAATGTAACGTGTCATTCCCTTCTAAGAGCAAAATTTTTGAAATGGCCCAAAATTATTTATTAATGGCTAGATTTTTCGAGCAATAGATAATCTTGGTAAATATTGCCGTCTAAATGTCCTTATTGGAGTAATGGAGAGTCGATCACTATACATGCAGCCACTCAAGTGGACGATGTGATTATTATTACTATGCATTTAACATTTAGATTATTATATATAGACACCATATTTTAATTCTTAATGAAGGTTCTAACATTTTCTTTGTCTCCAACTTTTTTCGTGCTATGCTTATTCTTAATTTTTAATTATGACAACTTTTATCCAGATATTTTGTTTGCAATCTTTGACATGATGTACAAATATTTTATTGGACTTTTATATTTATTTTTTTATTTATTAAAAAATATAACAACAAATAATTCCTTTTAATCTAGCATTAGTGGTGCTACAATATATAGGTCGCATTATATGTTGGTTTGATTACAGATAAAATTATGTTATACATTTAACTATGCAATTCTCTTAGGATACGTTTGATTGTGAGTATGAAATTTGTATAAAAAGAAAATAAATTGTAGGTAATTTAATTGCCTAAAACTTATTTGCATGAAAATTATTAATTAAATATGTTTAATTAATTTAATTTTTAATCTAAAAAATATTATACTTGTTCGATTTTTATTGATGGGTGGATGAGAGAGAGTAGATAGACGAGAGAAAGAGAGAGTGAATTCCTCGAAAGATAAAATCCTATCTTTCCTAAAGAAAATATTTTCCTTGATTTTGAAGAAAATATAGTTACACGACCAAAAAAAGGAAAATATTTTTCATGGAAAAAATGTTAATCAAACAGCACAAAAATAAAAATTTGAGTGAAAAAACACATTTTCTATGAATAATATTGTCAATCAAACGCACCCTAAATTAAAATTTAATATTCACGATGAATGATAATGTTGGGTTTATCATATGAATAGAGTATGTGACTTTTTAATGAAAGAGTAACTAAGTTGTGACTTTTATCGGTTAACATTTTCAAAGTTATATTTTTTTTTCCAAAAAAAAAGATCAAAAAATATTTTTTAGGCTTACAATTGAAAATTCCCCAAGGTAATGGGTTTTAGGTGTTTTAGTGCCCATATTTGAAAGCCCGTTTTAGCCTGTCAAGTTTTCGCTAGGTAGATCCAGTCCATGATAACTGATAAATGAGAAAATTACATTCATACCTGTTTTTCAATTTTTCATTCTAATAATCAGAAGATAAAAATTATTCTTTCAAAAATTAGGTGTATCCCAACCCACCTCACCTCAAGCTTAAAACATTTTTAATCCAAAAATGGTCATGATCGCTTCCAAAATACACCCCAAAATTTCACACCTCATTCCACACCCATGAACGTCAGTTCGACACCACCACCCATGGGCAGATTTAATAGTGGGCTGTGCTTGATTGTAGTCCACTACTGTCCAAGCCCAGATGCATTACAAAATGATAAAAGTGGAAATTATACAATTCCAATTGTTTCAATTTCACATTACAAAAATCAGGTGAGATGTATTTTTAATCAAAATTCAGGTATTATATATTTAAATATAATAGTCACCCCACACCCAAACGGCCAAACCCTAGCTATAATTTTTCTCTCTCCCTTCTCTCTACATCTCTCGTTCTCTCTTCTCTCTCGTGCATGCGGGCGACCCAAGCTCCGGTAACGACAACTAATGAGATGTGCCGTCGACAACGAGCTATTGCAAACGGCGATTCTTACGACGACGTCGAGCTGATTCCAAAGTTCTGCCCCCAGGAAGAAAATCTTCGACGCAGCTGTTTTACTGTTGGACTTGAACGACATTCGATTGTTCTCTGGCTCGCTCAAGTGGAAGCGCGGCAGCTGCTCCTTGCGGCGAAGACACTATCCGGTGTAGGGAACATCGTCTGCAGCCGCACGCAAGAGCGAGGATACCAGCTCGTCGAAGCATTGTACAGTGCAGATAGTAAATGAAGGTGAACAGATCTGTGAGATTGTCCTAGTTCTTCCCTCCGATATACTTGGTTCTCTCCTCCGATGTGGGATTTCAGTGATTGATCTGGTCTCTCGGTGTTGGGACTAGGTTGAACCAGTATTAAAGTACGTAGACGGGTTGCGTTCTGTTATTGCAAGTTGCCAATACTGAAGGGAAGCTTATTGTGATTGGAGGATGGAACCAATCAATTTGGGACCCGATTTGACCTGTGTTGATGATGGCAGCAGCTTGTTTGGTGGGTGTCATGTAAATAGAGATAGAGGAGATGGTGGTGGTGATGTGCTATGAGTGGTGCGGTGTGCTGTGGGTTTGCTAGTGTGGTGGTAGTACAAGTATAGTGGTGCTCATGATGGGTGGTGGCAGGAGACGGCAATGCTCATTTTGGTGAGGTGATGGTGGCTCCGGAGGTGGTGATAACGAATTATTGTTGAGTTGTTGATGATGTTGGTGGTGGTTGTGGTAGCGGTGATGGGTGGGTTATTTGTGACCAACATTTAGGCGTTCGTGACCATTTGGTTAATTTGTGATCAACAAACTGTGACTACATGACTTATAATTTGAATGATCTATGATCTCAAAATAATTTTCGAAGTAACAGATATGAGGTTCCAAGTCCCACTAATTGATGCAATTGGATATGTTGACCTGGTCAACTGGGTGGGATTGGAAAATAACGTCACCTAACTAGCCGCTATATAGAGGTCACATGTTAATTTTATTGGAGGATTCTTAAAAGTATATTGAGCTAGTTGATCTTGTTATTTCAAAGTTGGGGAATGGATTATGCAGAAGTTGCAATTACAATGTCATGTCATTGTGTGAAACGTCAAGATCCTCCTTTCCTTACTAATTACTGGGCAATCAGGCGAGGCCCCAGTAAAGAGAGTTGGCCATACCAACATGGTAATTTCTTGATTCTGACTTATAGTTATGAATATTCAATGTATTGTTCTGTGATTGAAAATGTTATACCATTATGATCAGGTTTGACTTATTATGTGGGTTAATTTTGATGACATCCTACAATACCGTTGACTGTGACCTACTTTAATTTCATTCAAAAGCTAAGACATTGTCAATTTATGGGGAGAAGTTTGCTGTTGAAAATTTCAAAATCAAACATACCAGACCTGGTAGGAGAACTGCCTATGCCCCAGAACCTCCCCTTCCCTAATACCATCTCACTCCATGATTTCAGATTTCTAAGTTTCACTGTGTGAAAGCATCCTTTGTGTCATCTTATTATTTTTGCTCAATTTTCAGGGCTTAGGTCTATGGCAAATGATGGGCAGGACACTAATGGTTCACAATTTTTCATCTGTGACGACCAACTGGTAACTATACAATTTATGATCCTGCTATTATGAGAAAACTGTCATCCATCTTCAGATCTTCTATCTGGTGCTTCTATTTAGCCAGAAAATCTAACAAAATTTAAATGTTCAATAGGTTGGATGGTCGTCATGTTGTATTCAGAAAGGTGCTGTCCGGAATAGATGTGGTGTATAAGATAGAAGCCAAATGCAACTAGAGTGGAACAACCAAAAACAAAGTTGTGATTGCAGACAGTGGTGAACTTCCCCTGTAATCAGCTTGTACTTGAACTTGTCAGTTTTACCCTTCTACTCACTTCTGCTTACTGCAGATTATGGATCTTAATTTACATACCTGAATTATGTTATTTAGGAAAATGAAATAGGTACCAGAAAAGTACACTTTTTAGTTTGGCACCTAATGAAATAGGTACCAGAAAAGGCACGTAGAATGTATATTAGGAAAGAAGAGAGGAAACATATGCGATTTCTCTTACATTATTGACAGAGATCATTAGGGATAATGTTACCAACCTTTAGAAGGTTCGTTTTACATTTTTTTGATCTGTTCAGTGACCTTTCCTTTAGTTAGCATTTATACAATTTCTCTCTGTCATAAATGCAGCAGAAAAGAAGACAAAGAAATAGCAAGAAGTCGTAATTGCGTAGTGAAGAAGTTTCAAAGGCACTAAGAATGAATTTTTTTCTGAAGTGGTATATACTTTTGAGAAGTATTGAAATGAATTTTACATTGATATATTGTATTAAACTGTACTCAATATTTATGAAATCTAAGAAAAACCTGGTTATATTTATGGAATTTTGTTTTGTAATTATTATTAGTAATCAAATAAATAAACAATTTTTTCTTTTAAAAAATAAAATTTACGTTGTGCATTTTGTACGCCGTAAAAAAAAATACGTTACCTCGTTAAAAAACTCACCTTGCGCACGCCGTAAAAGGTTTTAACGGCTTTCATAGATGACATGCATTGCACTCCGTAAAAAGTAAATACTTTTTTACGGCATTGCTTTATACGGCATGTAGGAGTGGATACTTTTTTCCAGAACCGGTGGAACTGGACCGAAATCGTTTAGAACCGATCGGTTTGGTTCCGGATCTTCTAAAAAATAATTTGATTTCGGGACAAATTTTTAAGAACCGATTGGTTTCGGTCTGGTTCTCGATTTTAGTATGGGAACCGAGGGAACCAGACGGTTCTCATTGGACTTTTTCTTTTTTTCTTTTTTTTTTTGGTAAAATATATGACTCAATTTTCAAACTTTTATAAAAAATAATCGGGTTCCTTCTTAATTTTAGACTCCAGCACTTTCCTTCTTCACTTTGATTCTTTCCTTGTCTCTTCTTATAGTTCTTTGATTAATTGATTTTCAAGCCAAATTAAAATATTGGGTAAATCTATACCTAAATAAATTTATTTACAAAATATAATTTCATTTATAAGATGTGAAATTTTTATTTTGTTTTCACTTTGTAAATCTATACTTAAATAAATCTTTGACTAGTATGTTCAGTTTTTCTATATTTTGTTAAAAGTATCACATTGGTAGTATTTTTAGAGTTTTAGTAGTGAACATTTTATTTTGACATTTTCAATGTAAAGAACCGGACCGAACTGAATCGGAACCGATTGGTTCGGTTCCGATTTGGTTCCACAGTTAACTATGGAACCAATGGTTCATTTCTAAAATTCTCATTGGTATTTGGTTCGGTTCGATTTCCTTTGGAATCGGACCAAATCGGACCGTGCCCACACCTAACGGCATGCGGCTGCACGCCGTAAATTGGTTTTTACGGCATGCAATGCTTGCATGCCGTAAAAAGTGCATTTTGTTGTATTGCGTGACCAATCTAAATTTGTTGCCCTAACTTGTCCTATGCATACAAATAAAATTTATCGTTATTCGACTCAATCCTAAAGACAACAATGAGCTATGTACTTTAACTTGAAGTATTCACGTTCAAAGGGTACAAACCTACTCTATCCCTTAATTCAATCAAATGAAACAAGCAAAGACTGGAACAAAATGTTAGGCCTTGACCATGTGATCACATGGTTATTGGTCCATGCTCTAGACGTATTAGCACGCAACAACGTAGAAGAGTGCGTCAGAAGATGTAGAACTCTTAATAGAGATTGAACCTAGCTATTGAGGACCATCCGTATTTTTCAATTAATTTCGGGCCCAGCCACGTACAGCCGTAGAGGTCCCCAATATGTACCTGTCTTGTCCTGTCCAAAATACTTTGCTATGTAACCTTTATCTAATCGAATTAACCTGTATATTCAATACTTTTATCTTTTCAAGAATAAAGTTGGTTTGCCCTAAAATTTTGACATGCCAACTGACTGACCTTCACATCGTGCATGGATCCTGCGTAAATTTAAAAAAAAAAAAGTGCTGACCCCCATGTGTATGTGTTCGGTTATCTCCTATATTCGTGTAGCAAAAATCATCTTTTCAATTTTTTGGAGTCCTGAAATGTGGCCGTTTCAATAGACCGATCAGGTCAAATCTTGGGCCAACGAAGTTTTTTTGACATATGTGATATAAATATAGACTAGTTATTCTAGTTAGAAAATCTGTAGCTGGTGAAGGCAGACTCAAATTGGTAATCGTACATAACATAGCTGCACAACAAAACGTTGGCTTCGTTTTCGAGCATCTTAAAAATCTGTGGAGGACTAAAGAATGTAACGTGTCATTCCCTTCTAAGAGCAAAATTTTTGAAATGGCCCAAAATTATTTATTAATGGCTAGATTTTTCGAGCAATAGATAATCTTGGTAAATATTGCCGTCTAAATGTCCTTATTGGAGTAATGGAGAGTCGATC